GTCTGGACAGAGGAGGCCCAGGCCTTTTGAGAATAAAAACAGTGAAGGTTCTGGAGGTGTATCTCAGCACATCCTCAACATGAACAGCACAAAGGAGGAAAGGACGGATGGAAGGAAGGAAGGAAGAAAAGAAGGAAGGAAGGAAGGAAGGAAGGAAGGAAGGAAGGAAGGAAGAAAGGAAGGAAGGAAGGAAGGAAGGAAGGAAGGGTAGTTATTACCCCAGTATACTATGAACAACTCTCAACCATTTCAAAAACTACATGTTCTTCTGATGAAAACTTCTGACATTAAACAATGGGCCAAAATATTATGAAAATTTGTCTATTTTTGAAATGTGACCTATTTACTTAGGGATAATTAGCATTTTTATCATCAACAAGGATTAGCCATATCTTTCATACTTTACAGATGGGTCTGGAGGCTCCTGTGCCCCGTGGCCTTCCTCAGACATGGTGCCTCTCCCCAGCTGCTTCTTCAGTGTTTTCAAAGACCTTCAAATGAGAGGCTCGCTAGGCGCGTGAGGATGCTGGCATGGGAGGGCAGAGGAAGAAGGCTTCCATGTGTTCCTTGTTCATCTGGAGCTTCAGTATTACTTTGACCACTTTCTGTGGAAGATTTATAAACATAACTCTATATAAATAAAACTTTTGGGCCAGGGAGAGAGCTTGGCAGTCTAAGCACCTATCCGGTAAGCACAAGGACCTAGGTTCAATCCCTGGTATCGTCTGCAGTGCTGGCCCCTGCACCCAGCCAGCCATAGAAACCAGGTGTGGTGGCGCATGTCCATAGCCCCAGAACTGAGAGGCTGGGACATGAGGATCATTATGAGTCTGAGCTGTGTAGTAAGACCCTGAACCAAATTTAATAATTAAATGAATCTCTTCCTCAGCTCTCTTGGGTGGCTCTGAATATGTGATATCTCATCTTTACTTTTTCTGTTTCTTTTTCAACAATAGTAGTAACAAAAACCCACACTCATCTTCCTGAATTCCTTGACTATGGGCATAGGGACCATCATCTCATGGAAGGAGTTGGATGTGACATAATCAACACTAGGCTACCATGATACAAAAAATCAACTTGTTTCCAATAGTATCCTTCAGTCTAAAAACTGAGGCCAAACTACCCTTTCAAAGATGACTGCGACTGTAGTCTCTCTTCCAATCCACTGTCTCCCAATCTGAGCAATCACTTGCGACACTTTGGCCAGGAGCGATGAGAACAGACAGCTTGGAAGGGATGCAACTGTTTTTCCAAACTGCTTTCTTTCTTAGTGCTCCAGGAGAGCTTTGTAGATGCTCAAAATGTCAGTCCTAAAATATAAATTATTATATAACATTCTGTCCAATGACAGTAATGGTTCATGTAGTTGTCACCTGAAATATCCACCCCCCTGACTGACCAGTTCTCCCTCAGTAAAAGCCCCACAATTCCTGCCTTTGAAGTGTCTTCCCACCGAGGCTCTCTTCAGCATAAAGGGGAGTTGGATGGGAACATCTTCCACACATCCTGTCAAGTTTTCCTACAAAGGTTCTTCCTCTTGGGCCGGGGACATAGCTCAGTGGCTTAAGTGCCTGCCTGGCAAATAAAACGTACTAAGTTCAATCCCTGGTACAAAAAAATAAAATAAAATAAAGATTCTTCCTCTTTTACAGTTTGGCAGTAGAGGCACTGAGCAGGAAAACCTTAATACAATTACAGTGAATATCACACCTCACCCTGAACCTGTAAATAGGAAGAACCATGGAAGCAACCATTAGTTACGCTTTTTTAAAAAATTTAATAGACTACATTTTATCAGTATAGTTTTAGGCTCACAGCATGACTGGGAGGAGCTTACAGGGGAGGCCTGTCCAGCTCTTGTTCCCACATGTGTGTAACTGTGCCTGCTATCGAGGTCCTCCATCAAAGTGGTGCATTTGCTATAAGGAATACAACAGTATCACTCAAAGTCCATAGCATGCATTAGAGTTCCCTCTTGGTGTGCACATTTCATGGGTTTAGAAAAATATATATCCATTAGTGTCATTCCAGCTGGAGTTTCACTGCTCTAAAAATCCTTGGTGCTCTACCTAATCTTCACTGGCTCCCACACCAGCCACAAGCAAGCACTAATCTCTTTACTGTCTCTACAATTTTGCCTTTTCCAGAATGTGATATTTTTGAAAGTATACAGAACTTTGTCTAGACAGTTTTTAAACCTGCACACCCTACTTAGAATGAAGCTGAAATTGCATGGTTGTTTGCATGCAGGCATACCCAAACCTAAATTACAAAAGCTCTTATTGAACTCCAGAAGTCCATGCCCTTGAAATCTCTGCAATGAAGTGGGCTCATGAAGGCATCACTCTGAAGTTCACTTGTTTACCTTTAAAATTCTATTGCATGTTACTTTGTTCATGCGGTGTTAAGATGGATATGGAGAGAGGAAGGGGACAGCAGTGAGCCCAGGAACTGGCCACTCTTTAGCTGAATCCTACAAAGCATTTTCAGACACAGAAGGAGAATGGGCATTCCAAGCAGCAGAAACCATTCACACAAAATTACAGGCAAGAAAGAATATACTATATACAAGGAACAGGGGCAACAAGGAACAGCTTTGTGATGGATGAATAGAGCGTGGGGTGAGAGCGCTGGGATGACAGGCAAAGGCTAGCCTGAAATGTTCTGAATGCCACACTTAACGCTAGCAACAGCAGATGCCAGTAAAGGTTATGCAGCCAAGGAAATGTGTAATCAGATTTGTTTTAGAAGATAACTCTGGCAGAGTGCACTGGTGCACACCTATAATCCCAGCTACTCTGGAAAGTGAGGCAGGAGGACCATAGTTTTGAAGCCCATAGTAGGCAACATGAAAATTTCTGGGAGAGGGGATACTTGGGGAAAGGACATATTAGAATAATTGTATAGCAGAAATGATTTGCTAGAGAGAATCAGGCTGAGGGCTGGCCAAATAGCTCAGCAGATTAAAGCTCCTGCAAGCAGGGGTGGGCAGTTCGATCTCCAAGTCTGCCATGCTGACCCCGACCCAAAGGCATGCTGAGACAACAATTGAGACTGGATGTGGTGGCATGTGCCTGTAATCCCAGCTCTTGGGAGGCTGTAAACAGATGGATCCCTATGAGTCTGATCTAGTAGTTAGACCATGAACACCCTGTAGACCCTTCCCTAAAATAAAAAAAAAGAATTGGGCTGTTATTCCTCAAAGTTACATGAGAGTTTGACAAGACAAGGCATACCCAAATGTCAATTTCTGGGGTACACCTTTTCACTACCAAGTCAGAATCTCTAGACTAATGCCTGGGTATTTGCAAATGTTACCTGCCTATCATCAGATTCTTTTCTCAATTTGCTCAATTAAGAAACAGAACGAGTTAGATTTGTTCTTGATGCCGCTCCAGACTAACTCAAAAAGAAAAGCAATGTGTGTGCGTGTGTGTGTGTGTGTGTGTGTGTGTGTGTGTGTATTTTAGGGAAGGTTCTACAGGGTGTTCAGGGTCTCACTACTAGATCAGACTTGTAGTGATCCGCCTGTTTACAGCCTCCCAAGTGCTGGGATTGCAGGTGCACACCACCTCATGCAGTCTCAATTGCTGTCTCCGAGTGCCCAAGGGGTGGGGCTGGCATGGCAAGCCCGGGGATCAAACCCCTGGCCCTTGTGCCTGCTTGCAGGCGCCTTAATCCATTGACTGAGCTATTTGGCCAGCCCAAGCAATTTCTTTAAGTTAAGCAATTGTTAAGCTATACAGTAAGCTGTCTCTCCACATTCATGGGTATGCAAATATTTGAGGGAAGGGGAGGTAAAGGAGAGATGTACAAAACTTTTATGTAAACACCAAGCCTTTTCATGTAAGGGACTTGCACATGTGAAGATTTTGGTGTCCTGGGGAGTCCTGGAACCAATTCCCCACAGATGGGGGCCAAGGGGGGAATCCCCACCAGTTCTGTGCTGCCAGTCAGGATGACTGATACCACTCTAAAAAGGCAAATCAGTCCTCTTTATGGCTCCTGTGCTTATTTGGGCATCTCAAATTCCCTTAAAGTACTCACCTCCAATTAACAGATTAAATAAACAGAATTTTTAAAAAACTCAGGGAAAGAGCGAGTTTCTTTGTTTGCTTGTTGATGTTCCCACTCCCTGAAGCCCCAGGAAAGCCAAGCCTGCAAAGCCTGCAGAGTGCCAGGGTTCTCTATGTGCAATGCTCTAGGGGGCGAGTGCTTTTTTTTTGGTTGTTTGTTGTTTAGATTTGGGTTTACCATGTAGTTAAGGCTGACCCTGAACTCACTGTGTAGCTCAAACTGGCATCAAATCTGCAGAGACCCTCCTGCCTCAGCCTACTGAGTGCTGAAATTACAGGCGTGTGCCACCTCCCCTACCCTGAGTATCTTCTTTTAAAAGAGAAAGTGGATAAACTGAAACTGACAGAAACCATAAACAGGAGAACTGGACGGAGAATAGAGAGATTCAGCCTTTCAAATATTGTTCATTCAACACCTACAAGGGGCCACACTCAAAAGAGCCCATTTCCAGTTTCCGGGGTCCATTTTGCTCTCCGAGACCGCAGAACTCAACTCATCTGCCTTAACTTCAGCTCCAATTCCCTAGTTTATCAATCGAGGCGCGGGCCAGAAGTGAAAACTTTGTCAAGTCCTGCGCGTCCCCGCCGCCGACGCCGGGACCTCATCTTCGCTCGCTAGACCGACGCGCAGCGTCCTCCGACCCATCTCCTCCGGGGGCTACAGAAACGCTCACAGTGTCGGACCCGGAGGCGGGGAGCAACGTGGCAGCAGTCGCTCGTCTTCCCTGGCACCCGGCTCTAGGGCGTCGCTCCTGGTGCGCCCGGGTCTGCAGCTGGCTGGAGAAAGTGGGCGGGGTTGCGACTCCGGCCGAGCAGAGGAGGCGCCCATTGGCCGCGGGCGGACGGCGGGGCGGGGTCTCAGCGGGGCCGCTTTAGGGAGGGGGTGTGCACCCGGGTCAGAGTCGGGACCCAGCGCCTGCTAGGTTCTGTGGTGCGCTCGGTGCCGTGGACCCAAGCCTGCTCCCCCGGGGCTGAACGCCTCAGTCCCCGCGCCCCGAGGCTCCCCCGGCCCGGGCCCTGCGCGCGTGTGCTCCGCGGTGCTTTTCGCTCGGGGAGACTTTCTGCTGTTTGTTTCTTCCTCTCCCTTTGTTGCCCTGAAAGCCGGCCTTGCCACAGCCCCGCTCGAGAGCCGGGCTCGTGCAGAAGGCGACCGCAGTTCTCGGCGTCGACCCCTCCTGCGCGCACCCCGCCGCGCCCGCGCCGTCCCCGGGGAGCTCGCTGCGCCGTCCTTGATGCACCCGTTCCAGTGGTGTAACGGTGAGTCCCGGCGGCCGGAGACGGGGCGCGGGCACTCTGGAGAGGCTTGTTCTCGCCTTCCTCGGGTCTCTCCGTGGCGGGGGGCGTTGTGGCTCCCAGCAGTTCTGCGCAGCGCGGAATTTGAAATGATCCGGGTCTAACTCCAGCGTCTCCGGACGCGCAGCCGGCCAGGGGCGCGACAGCGAGGGGTTCCCAGCCTTTGTGTGGCGACTCGGCTCTCCGGCCCGCTCTCCCTGCCTTTGTGCGCTTCAACTCTGTTCTTTGTTGTGGCGGTTGGAGGAGAATTAAATCCGCGCTCGGGCCGGGATCTCCTAGAGGGAGCTCAAGTTCCGCGGCCTGAAACTTTGCAGTCTATTTTAAATATGTATACAATGCAGCGTGCGGGACGGAGCGCGGGGGTGGTTGCCTCTCTTCCTGGGACGTCCAGCTTGTGAAAGACGCTGGATGAAAGACTGGCGCTTTATTGAATTGCTTTAACCTTGCAGTCAGCCCTGTAGCCCAGCTATCCTTGGGGTGCGGGGCTAGTCCTGCTGGAGTTTAGGCTCTTCTCGAACCTAGGAGGTGACTGCATCCCCAACCCAGCCCTGCTGCACGACCTCCCCCCCCCCCCATGCTAAATCAGGTTAGCTCACCTGGGGCTTTTTAGCCGCTCAGGTGATACAGATTACGTTTGAGTCCGAAATTCTCTTCTGAATTGCCTGAGGGGAGTCCTGAGCTTGAGGTACTAAGCGCCACCCTCCTCTCTCTTAGAAGCCTGGAGGCTTTAGCCCTTTTTCTTACGCTTGGAGAGTTTAAAGAAGGGGCGCTTGGGAGGGAGCTGGGAAGCAGCTGGCCTTATTTGTGGGGCACACGGGCGGGTGGCGCAGGGGGAGGTTCCATTCTTGAGAGTAGACTCCTGCCAGGTCTTGGATTAATTATTTCAAGAGGCTTTTGTTTTAAGGCAGCGTTTGGGCAGCATGTGTATGGGTGTCCTCCATCCCCCTTCTTCCTCCTTCTGCTAGTCGAGTCTAATTTCCTGAAAATGAACCAAGCTGTGTGCGATAGGCAGAAACGTGGGCGAGGAGGCGGCCAGGGGGGCTAGGAAGGACGGTGCATCCCCACGTCTGGGAAGGGTTCCCGGTGGTGGGGAAGGAGAGGCAGTTCCCAGATCTGGTCTTTCTTGGCCGGTTCTTCTCTGACGTCATCTGCTCCCAGGCTGCCAGCCGAGATGAGACATTCTGATGTCAGGGTTTTCATAGGTTGGTTGGTGAGACAATGGGACAGAGACTCAGGGAGGACTGTGGCACGGTCGGTCGGTAACGCTGGACTTCTTGCTTCAGCGTCTTTTTACGCGAAGCTTGAGAGTCCCGGAAGTCTTGCTGCTTTACCTTTCGCTTTTTTTTTTTTCCTTTCCTTCTGTGGGACTGGAGATCAAAGCCAGGGCCCTGCTTATGCTAAGCAAGCTTCCCCCCCCCTCCCCCGTGCTCACCTACATCCCCAGCCCTTGTCCGTGGTTCTAGTGAGGAGGTAGCGCCTTCCCTGTCCCATTGGAAAACATTTGGAGCCCCTCTTATGCGGGGCTGGTATTTTCTGTCCTTCTAAGTTTTAGAGGGATAACTCCATTGTTAGCTTTTGGCCAACATAGTTCTTTCCCATTTCTCTTCAGTAGAGATTGAGGACCCTTCATCAGAAAAGCCAAAATCTAAACGATGGCTGAAACTTTATAAGCGCTGAGCTGATACCATAAGCAAAATCCATACAGTGAATCTGTTTCATGCCCCCAAATTATATAAAATATTGCATAAACGTGACTTCAGGCTATATGTATTGGATATAGATGAAATATAAATGAATTTCATCTTTAAATTTGTGCTGCTCCACTCCCATTATGTATTATGCAAATATGCCAGAATCCAAAGGAAAAGAAATCCAAAATCTGAAACACTTTACTTCTAGTCTGAAGCATTTTGAGTAAGGGACACAAGCAGGGATACAGGCAGATGGAGAGTGTCTCTTAACTGCCAAGCATTTCCCACCAACCCCATTCCATTCCCTGTAGAATGCTGAGCTCGCTGAGTCCCAGAGCCCCAGGAAAAGCCTCTGTGGAACAGTAAAAGATGGTAGAGATAACCTGGACTGCTAGGGTCAGGGTGCCTTGGGGCTCATGCCCTCTGCAGTGGTAGCTGCCATAGCTCTGCAAGTTCCCAGAACAGGAAGCAAATCAAGATTCTTTGGGACCCAGCATATATCAGGATCCCATTCACGAAAGGTACATGGAAGCACTAAGACAGTAGGGGGTGGCTGTAGTCCTTAGAGCACCAAATGTTGCTGTGGGTGGAGGTGGGACAGAGGCCTCATTGATCCTGAGGATGCCATTTTGTAGAAGGGAAGACCTGAGCCCTCTTCCGAAGTAGACTGAAAAATGTTTTTCTGGTTGTTGGTTTTCTAAGACAGGGTCTTACTATATAGTTCAGGCTGGCCTGGAACTAACTGGGCAGCCTAGGCTGATCTCAAACACACAGCAATCCTCCTGTCTCAGCCTCCCAGGTGCTAAGATTACAGATTTGTGCCGCCATGCCCAGTTGAAGGTTGGCTCTATAGCCATTCCAGCTTAAGTCCTTCATGGAACATTGATTTCCTTTTGGCCCACAAAGAGTAAATATTTGAGTGGGAAGGGTTGCAGAAAATAACTTACTTTCTATCTCCAGCTGGAGCCCAGAAGCAAGGCCCACCCTGATGGGCACAGCTAATTCTTTCTTTAATTTCTCCTTAATCAAAAAGTCTTTTAGAACAAGGATTTCCTTTGCTTTTTGCCTTTTCCCAATGTCTAGGTCAGCATAGAAAGCAGATCCTCAACAATACATGTTAGTTGACTGGTGATTTATTCGCTGAGGTCAGTTTCTGGGCAGTTTTCCCAAACATCAATCTTCTTTCTTTAAAGCAGGAGCTTTTGCCAAGGGGCCCAGGTTGAGAAAGTATAGTGTTATTTATGTGTTAAACTAGTGGCTAAGCAAGCCAATCACAAGCCTAGGCCCTGGAGGTAGAAATCCAAATCAGTCTTCAGATTCATGAGTGTCCAGGTCTCTTAGCACTATATGCACCTGGTGACAAGTTTTGTTCTCAGGATAGACATGTTTCTACTGTAGTGCTTTTCTTTTTCTCTGTGTTTCCTTTTTCTTTCTTTTGAGACAGGGTCTCACTCTGTAGTCCAGGCTGGCCTTGAATTTGCTGTGCAGCCCAGGCTTGAGAACTTGTGATGATTTTGCCACAGCTTCCTGAGAACTGGCATTGAGGTGTGTGCCACCCTGCCTGGCTTGATCTTTCGCTTCTTCTTTCCAACCTGATCGGGTATCCAGTCATTCTTACATGCTTCCTTATCCTTAATGTCTTATTATAGTGTTTAATACATGTTTGAGTCAAAGGAAGTTGGTGCAGGGAACAAGCAGCCACTGTAAGACAATGCGGGAGCAAGAGCCCAAGCGACTGAGCCAGGTGGTGAGTGCTGTGGAATACAGGAAGGGGAGGCCCCTGGACTATGACCAAGACCAGGACTGGGGCATCTTACACAAGGGTGGATGAACATAGGCAAGGAAACAAATGGGGAAAAGACTGGGTAAGGAAGACCTTGAGGAGCCAGGTGTAGAAGTACAGCCCTGTAGTCCCAGCACTTTGGGAGGCTGAGGCAGGCTTGCAAGTTTCACTTAAGCCTGGGCAACTTAGCATGACTCTATCACAAAAAAAAATTTTTTTAAAGGCCTGATACACAGCTCTGTGGGAAGACCTTGGGTGCAATCCCCAATACCAATAAAAAAGAAAGAATGAAGAGGCTGTCTCCACACATGGGATAGTGCTGGAGATTCAAGTGGGAGACTGCAAGGCTGTAGCGAGCACATTCAGGAGGATGAGAAGCCAGACGTGGGTTTGGAGAGCCCATGATAAACGAGAGGGAGACTGTGTCAGACTTGTGGGGTGAATGAGAGAAGGAACCAGAAACAGTGATGACATCGATGAGGAAACAAGTAGGGGATGAGTACATGAAACAGGTTTGTGGCCATAGAATGGGGCAGTGTTAGAAGACTTGCAGAAAGGCTAGGATTGCTGCCAGTCAGATGAGCGGGATGAAGAGGAAAGTGACTCACTGTGTGAGAGTCAACTTCCAGTCTTTCCAGCAGGCTTCTGCTGAGCTGTGGAAGCATTGGTAATTATCAGGTAGAACTTTATGGTCCATTTTAATGGGTCCTGGCTCCTAATCAAGATGTAAGGGTGTGTCTAGAACCCAGAGCCTGAGTGCAGAGAGCCTTCTGGGGCCGGGCCTAAGCTGCTTGGCTGTGGGTAGGTCATTTAATGATTGAGTCTCTCATAGGTGAGGAAGTAACATTTTACAGTGGCGTTACAAAGATGTAATTGGAAGGCATAGAATTCCTTGTAGTGCCTGCTCTTCAAAAAGCTAAGACACAAGGATCCCTTGAGCCTAAAAGTTCCAGGCCAGACTGGGCAACACAAAAAGGCCACATCTGCTTTAAAAAAAAAAGCTTACATTGGTAGCATGCAAGCATGGTTGGGATGCAGTAGGTGCAATGAGTTCTGTTTAATCAAGGTTTCAACCTTTCTGCGCTGCCATGTTTAGTCTTTGGCTTTTAATCAGCCTCTCTCTTTTCAGTTACAACCTGGTTCCTATCCTTCACGTTTCTTGGAGACAGGACAATAAGAAAACCTTTATAAGCCAGAACTTCTCTGTTTCCTTGCCCAGAGCCTGGTCACATGCCCACCACAACACCAACTCCTGGCACAGAGTTCGTGAACACTGCAGTTCAAAGGCCAGTCAGAATCTTTCCCCATTCCCGGGAGAAGGGATGCATCTAGTGGCTGGCCAGCGCTTCTCCAGCTGTGCAGATCCATTACCAGAAGGTCTCGTTGGAATGTCTGTCCTGATTCATGGAGTCTAGGCCTGTGATTCTGCATTTCTAACACACTACCCAGGGGCTGCCAGTGCCACAGTGGGCTTTGAGGAGAAAGGCACAACTGACCAGAAGGGGCGCCGTAGCTCCCTGCCCCAGCTCCCTTCTCTGCTTTCTGGAGTGCCGGCCTGATCTTGAAGTGAACAATTTCTATTCTAGTCCTGAGACAATCTGCCTTTTAAAGCAAGTGGCTTCATAGTGACAAATGATCTTTGCAAATGCATTTTTAAATTTAACAGCCTATTTCTTCTACTGCCATTTTCAGTCCTCTAGATTTTGTTCATTTCCCTATGACAAAGTGATGCTTAGAGAAGTAACTTCTAATAGATCAACACACCTAGGCAGAAAGATGGGTTGGAACCCAAAGAATACACTTTCTCACCTATGTCTGTTTATCTTGTTACTATTATCTGTGGTTTTCTACTGGGTAGAACGGATTTTTCCATTTTCTGCTCGTTGCCTGAATCCTTGGTCCCTTTCAATACTTCTGTCTTAGTTACTCTTCTCTTATTGTTGGGACAAATACCAGACACTCAAACTAAAGGAAGGAAAGGTTTATTTAGCTCACAGATACTGGAGGTTTCAGCCTATACCCAGCTGGCTCCAAGGCAGAGCGGTGCTGGGCAGAGGGCAAACTTTCATGGCGGTGGCAAAGAGCAAGAGCACAAAGGAGGAAGAGCAGCAGCTCAAGCTTCTAGCTTCTCTTCCCTCTTAACATTGTAATGCAAACTGCCTGCCCCAGGGCAGGTGCAGCATCCACTCCCACAGTAATCAATCTCAAACTCCAGAACCTGCCCCAAGACTACATGAAGCTCTAGGGGGACACCTATACACAAACCATAATAACTTCCTATATTGCTCCATTTTGAAGATTGATTAAATAATTTTCCCAAGATAATGTAACCAGTAAGAGTTAGCAAGCTCAAGCATCTAAGTAAGAAGTTGAGCTTCGAGCTTGCAATTGCAGCAGAAATAGTGCGTCATCAGCCCTCGTCATAAATTTCTTTCTTTTTTTTTTTTTTGTAAATATCTAATATGTTTTTTCCCTCTTTCTTTGCAGGGTGTTTCTGTGGCCTAGGACTGGTTAGTACCAACAAGTCCTGCTCAATGCCACCCATCAGTTTCCAAGACCTCCCACTCAACATCTATATGGTCATCTTCGGCACAGGCATCTTTGTCTTCATGCTCAGCCTCATCTTCTGCTGCTATTTTATCAGGTTGGTGGACACTAACCAACCTGGGGAAGTATCTCAAAAAGAGAAGAGGCCAGGAGTAGATACTGCCCTTCATGCTAAAGCACTGCTGGGAGGACACGACTTGGCCAGCCCTTCTCTGGCCCTCTGGGACTTGGTAGTTCTATTTATATCAGCCTGTCAAGTTGTCCCACAGCACAGAAGGTCACCATGCCATCTCTTGGCCAGTTATTGTAGGTTTGCCTTGAGTACTCTGTCTGGTGACTTCCCAGCTCTCCCTCTCTTGTGCTTACTCATATCCTTTGGGCAGGAGTGGATGGGCATCGATGGCTTCTTTCTTTGCCCTCTTGGGAAATTGTGTCGTCAGCTTTACAAATGCTGATACTGGCAAGCTAGTATCAAGGAATACTTGTCTGTTTTGGCTAGTAAGCTCTTTTTCTAAAATAAGAAAAAAATTATTACTTCATTTTTGCAGAACATAATGATTACATTCATTGCAGGAAGTTGGTACATGTACATAACACATCTTAGTTCTTTTTATGTCCTCTTCTATTAGCGCTTATATTTTTGAAGTGGAAAAAAAAGGGAGTCACTTATTCTTAATTGCTTAGTGATCCAGGGAAGAACATAAGCTTTGCAAAGTTAGTCAAGCTCCAGGAACTATCTCTCTTCCTCCTGTTGAACGTGGGAACTGGTGGCCATTTTCTACAGAAGTGTTTGGGCCCAATTGGTATTTAGAGTGGAAATCCAAGTAGTAATGTTTGTACCTGGAATGTGCTGTTGGTATTGATAATTTTGACTGGTGTGGGACTTCCCTGTGTGAGAGAGGGTCGAATATCCCTGGCCAACAGAACATGCCTACACCCAGTCCTTGGAGTCATCGTGGTAACTGTGTCGCTCCCCCGCCATACACATTACCAGATGCCTCAGGAGACCTCTTGTGGCATCTAGGCTAGGGACCAGCCAGATCACTTAAGAGGATTAAAGCAAAAGAACCCTGTCTGCCTCCTGAGATGCCCTGCTAGGTGAGTGCTTCAGCCAGGAAACAGCTAGAAGGGAGACAGATGTCTGTCTGTCTAAGCCTGAAAGCGCTCCCTTGAGGAAGGAGACATCCTTTTGGGCGATGTTCCCAAGTCAGTTCACTACCTTGGGCCTCTTTCTCAGAACTTTGCAGAAGAGTTCCGGGACTGGGACTTCTGCAGCAAACATAGTGCTTTACTTTTCCTCTTGAACAGCTGAGTATGAAATTTCCATTTAGCTATTAAGGGGTGATGAGGGTAGACATGTAGTATGGCTCTTTCTCTCTCCTCCTGCTCCCTGAACCCTAAGTTTTCTCCTTCAAATACATCTGAGCACTCTGACCTTTCCCTATAACTCCCATATCATGCAACCCACTCACTTCCCAGAAGGCTAAAAGTAGACACAAACCAAACACCAGAAACTTACGTAGCATGAGGTTTGGGAAGAAACTGCAAAACACTCTTTGGCCTCTTTACACACACACACACACACACACACACACACACCCTCGCGCACACACACAGACACATGCGTGTGCACCAAACAACAAAAAACAAATGATCAAGTAATAAGTCCAGAGACTCTGGCCAGGCCCTGGGTGGCCAAGGTTTGTTTTCTAACTGTGCCACTTGGCATGGCCTTAGGTTTTCAGCTGCTCTTTGCCAAGGACTCTCCTGTGAGCCAGATATGGTGGTCAGCATTTTGTAAATGATTTAGCACACTTAATTCTCTGGACACTCCTCCAGTATCAGTATGGCCCACTGTGTAAAGGAAAACATTACTGCTCCCAACAGTTAAAGCGTTACCCAAAGCCATCCGTCGAGGCAGACTCTCAGAAGGGCCAGGCTGCTGGCCTCTGATTCCTTCCATATGTTTGCCTTCTGTGAGTGTGCTTTCTAGCTTGGGGAGTAGAGGAGCTCTGAGAATCTGTGGCCACTCCCTAATGGCTGGGCATTGGGGTCCAGGACAGGCTGGGGATCGATATATTACTAATTTTTCTTTACTTAGGTGGGGCAAAACAGAGCAGTCGCTCTGTGATGCTAAAAGCTGGCACCACCTATCCCTTCTTTGGTAATCTGTCCCCTTGTCACCCTCCTCTCTGTCCCGCATGCAGCCTGTACAAAGCCAGCTCAGCCTGGAGAGTCCCAGCTACAGGGACTCAGTGGTATGTGGAATGTATGCCTATATATAGAAAGACACACAAGCGCGGAAGCCACTTCCTCTCTCTGCTTCTTGGTTTCCTCCTCAACCAAAATAGGCCCATGACTGCTGCTCCTGACCTGGGGAGCTCCCAGCCGAGGCCAGCTGCCCCTCACCCCTTTTTCTCCCCTTGGAGCTGACCTCTGCTCTGCACAGGATGGAGGGGCTGCTGAAGTACAAATAGACAGGAAAGGAACGATTATCTTCAGGATCTGCCTGCAGTATTGTTTGTCCTAAGAGGGAAAAGAGGAAAGGGAAAGCCCGCTGGCAGTGGCTAGAAATGGTCTCATTGAAATCAGAGTATTTTTAGTAGCTTTGCTCAGCCAACAACTGAGAAGGCCACCTGTCCAAAGTGTTCGGTGCTCTGTGCCCAGCTGGGATTACCTAGGGGTTTTGCTTTTTGCTGTTTTCCGTGCAACCTTTTTTGGGCCCTATTTCAGCATGACCTAATCTTTCCTGAGATGAATTCTTTACACAGGACAAAGGAGCAGCTCTGATGCTTCGTTCTGAGTGTTCTGGAGGATGCCTGGGTAAGACCATTAAAGGGAGATGGACAGGCAAGAAGGATGAGGGTCCCCAGGGTACTGCAAACACAAGACACACAGCACACACCACGCAAGTGTAGCCCCACTGCAGGGGAGGCAGTTGAGCCTCAAAAGATGTGTGGTGCCCTCAGCCCCCAGACAGAGTTCAAAACAGATGGGAGGTAGCAGGCAGGCATACTGGTGCACACCAGTACTCCAGAGGCTGAGGCAGGAGGCACGGTTAAGGCTAGCCTGGGTTGTATAGAGTTCAAGGTGAGACCCTGTCCTTCCCCTGCCCCCAAAAGGATACAGCTTAGGGGTAGTGTTCATCTACCATGAGTTTCATTGCCACAACCGCAACACACACACACACACACACACACACACACACACACACACACCGGCTCTTCACCACTTCCTTATTTACACTGCCTGTGCCTCTTAATGCTGCAACAGTGTCTTTCTCCCACAGAAGGCACCAGCTTGGTGTCAGCTGGGTCCCAGTCCTTCTCATCCCTCTCGCACATAGGTCAGGAAGAGATGCACCTGCTGTGTCAAGCCTCTTAGGGTGAGGAAGTGTCCTCTGCCCAGTTATGTGTGGGACGTTGGAGCCCCAGCCAGGCTGCCAGCAAAACCCCACCAAGGCAGAAAGCAGTGAGAGGAAGGAAAGGGACAGTGGCTGTGCTGCTGCCCGGCTCCGCAGTCCTGGCAGGAGTCCACCTGGACAGCCTTCGAGGCTCCAGGCAAAGCCGTGGTCTCGTGACTTCTTGTCAGGAAAGGGTGAGGAGTTGGCAGGCAGATCTTATCGGCCCAGCACTGCACCTCAGCACAGCTGGCTGTGCCTTCTGCTTCTGCTTCCCCAAACCCGGGGATGGTTTCAGCCTCTCTTGTGCCCACAGGGCATCGTCATGCCCTCCTTGATGGCCACTGTCCAAGATGAGCAGTTTTCTCTCCCATTTTTTCCACACGAGGTCAGATGGTGAATCGTTGAGGCCTTGGGGGTCATGAAGGCTCTATCCCAACCACTCACCTCTTCCCGGAGTATGCAGAGACTGAGCACAGCTGTGTGCCAGTCACATTTAACCAACACTCCAGTTGGACTATTTTTCCTCTAGTGGTGCAGATCAAACCTAAGGCCTTGAGCGTGCTGGGGAAGCACTGTACCCTTGTGCTATACCCCAGCCCTATCGCTGTGTCTTTTTTTTTTTTTTTATTTTTATTTGTTTGTGTGTGTGTGTGTGTGTGTGTGTGTGTGGCCAGCTCAGGCATGTGGTGCTGGGGATTGAACCGCGGTCCCTGTGCTTTGCTTGTTCTAAGTAGGTGCTTTAGACCACTGAGCCATCTCACCAGCCCTATCGCTGTGTCTTAAGAAGGGTTTTTTCATGTTGGTTCATTTTTTAAATATAATTTTTATTCATTTTAATGTATTGGTTCATTTTTATGACAGTGTGTTCTTCTGTTTTCAAATACTGAATAAAAACCTTTCTTAGTTTGTGAAGCAGACAAAAGCAGATAGTGAGTGAGCTGGATTTGGGCCCTACTCTGCCCTTACTCTAATTTGATGGGATTTGGATAGTTTCTTCCAAAACCCAGGCCTGTGTGAGACATAATCAGGGACATCTGGGGGTACAGCTCAGTCGTCAAGTGGGATGGACACACTTGAGATCCTGGGTTCAACATATAGCCAAAAAAGAAACAACACTGGGGATCTAGCTCAGTGTGAAGAGCCTAGATTCAATCCCCAGGGCTGCCAGGAGCAAGGGGAAACGAAGGAGGAGGAGGAGGCGGGAGAGAGGGAGGGAGAAAGAAAGTCAGAACTGCTGAATTCAGAGTAAGTCTCCTCCACTGAAATAAAAAGGCACAGAATCAGAGCATAATTATGGTGCCAGCCATTTGCTTCAGAAGTCACTGAGAGAGACGCAGGTGGAATGAAATGTGGGTCTGTCCCAAGCTCTAATTATATTCCCAGGATGGCGTTCTGGGGACAGGTCATGTTCCGTGGTAGAGAGGACAAGCTTTTTAATGACCCAGACTGTTATTCAAATCGAGACAGTGCTGTCTGAACTATGAAACTAACACTCTGAAATGAAACTAGCTCTGTGAAGGTTTCGGCAAATGACTTCGTTTCTCTAGGCTTCATTTTCCTCATCTGTAAAGGAGAGTATCTCCCTTTTTTAAAGTGTTTGGATCAATGAGAGCACCCTTGGTTGTGTAGGTGTCCGAGTGTCACAGAGCAAGCGCCCAGTGAGCCATTCATCTGTTGCTATCAGTGATGACATGCTGTTTTAGGTAGTGAGTGGTAAGCCATAGCAGGCTGCCAGCCTGGTGACAAGGAAGAAACTGGGAAGGTGTTGCCTGTGTGGTTTGTCTGGCAGGGAAAGGAGGTGTGTGTTTTGGTTCCCAAGTGCTGTGTTCTCCAGATGGAAAATTCCTCAGGGGCATCAGAGACATGCTTATCCTGCCATCCTACCTTAATGGAAATATCCCTTTTAACAATACCTGTCTAACTCTGTACCTTTGGTAAGCACAATGGCCATTTATCTAGTTGGGATGTCGGAAGGAGTTTACCTGCTGGGACAGTACAGGGAGCACAAACAAGCTGTTTGGAGTGCTCCACGGGAGCTGTCCCGGCCATGTGTGGGACCTGGCAGGAAGTCAGCAGGAGTCCAAGTCCTTAGCCAACTCCAGTAGCCCTGATGGGTCAGAGCCAGGCCCCAGGATGCTGAGAGGCCAGGCACGCTGCCTCCCCTGAGAAGAGGGGGAGGGAGCCCAAGCAGCTAGCCAGGCTTGCCTGCTTCAGTAGCTGTTCATGCAACAGTAAAATAACCTGTCCTCCGTTCTTCCTCCCCCAGCAAACTCCGGAATCAGGCACAGAGTGAACGATATGGCTATAAGGAGGTAAAGTGCCCCTTTCCCTGACACCTGCTCCTTCCGAGAGCTGCTATGGTGGGGTGCAGAACAAGCCCAAGCCGCCCTGCCAGGGGCTCCTTGCCCTCCCCTCTGTACCTTCCTGAAGCCAGCACCTCTCCCTGTCCCTGAGTCAGGCTTGCCCTGAGTGACCAGGACTCCCTTCAGTGCTTAGTCCTTCCTGGGCCCTGTGGCTGATGGCTTCAGACTCACACCTCCTCTTGGCTCCCCAGGTGGTGCTTAAAGGTGATGCCAAGAAGCTACAGCTCTATGGGGTAAGTGACCCCAGTAGGTAAGGCGACCAGGGCCTTCCTCCAGCTTCCAGACCCTGTAACTTTTATGAGAGTCTTTCTTGTCCCTGCCTCCGTATCTGCTTTGACCACATAAAAGGGAAGCATCTAGGCAGGTAGTTATTACATGTAATTCATTTTTGAAACCGGTTCTGGTAGGAAACAAGGGGATCACAAGAGGGCTTGGGGGAGTACTGACACCTGGCCCTGACTTCAGTCTGCATAACTTTTAAGGGAAGGATGGCCACCCTGCTCCTGCCACAGCACCCTGGGGTTAGGTTTTGTATAGCCAGCTGCTGGGCCTGCTTTTTCATTAAAAAATCAGATCCTTTTACCCATGTACATGCCTGTCCACACAACCCAGGTCTGTCTAGTGTCCCCAGGCCAGTGGCTCTTCCCTGTCCCTGAAGACAGTGATGGTCAAGAAGTTATATAAATTAAATGTCTGAGGAACACCAAGAAGATTTGAGCCCTTTCTGAGTCTTGTGATAAGTGAGTGTATGGGGCTTGCTGCCGCCGCACAGCAGAACAGTGCTGGGCAGTGGTAACGTGAGGAAATAATACCACGTTAGGAGCCTTGCATGAGTGTAGATGCTGTTAGGCGGAGAAGTCAGGCCTCCTGAATGCTGAACCCACACTCTGTTGGCCTACACCTTTGGTCCATCCCCCGACCCTTTCATTTTTGAAACAAGGTTCTGCTACATAGTCCAGGCTCAATTTGAACTCACCATATAGTCCTGGGTGGCCTTGAACTTGCAGTCCTCTTGCTTTGGCCACCTGAGTAGCCACTATGCCTGGTCACATTTTTTGCATTAAATTTTTGTTAAACCTTTGTAATACTCAAAAAAAAAAAAAAAAAAAAAAAAATTGTAGCCTAGTACAAGAGGAAGGGGGGATAAATTTGTTGTTTTCTTTTGGTTAATTTAAGTTTAAGCAGACACATGTAGTTGCTATCAGGCTGTTGATGCAGTTTTGTAAAATAGGCCAAATTTCTCTGGCTGACAGAGGAGGCTGGGCTAGAGCTTAGCGTTTTCTTGGCTGGAGATGAGAAAGTGGATCCCAGGGTGGGTGGGCGGTGCTTGCTGGATGCGCTCACAGGCCCTTCTCTCTTTCTTCACAGCAGACCTGTGCTGTCTGTCTGGAGGACTTCAAGGGGAAGGATGAGCTCGGCGTGCTCCCGTGCCAACACACCTTCCACCGGAAGTACGTGGGGGTACAGTCAGGGCTGCCCGAGAACCTTTCCTGCCACCTCCCATCTACCACTTGCCAGTGATGCCCCTAAACTCTGTCCTGCCTAGAGACCAAGTCATCAGGGGTGAAGCTGGGCAGGCACAGGGATGCTCTTGTTCCGAGACCCAGCTGGGCACTCGCAGTATCTGGGGCAGCCGTGGGGCTCTGTCTGGAGATAACAGTCTTTTGTCCACAGATGCCTGGTGAAGTGGCTGGAGGTCCGTTGTGTGTGCCCGATGTGCAACAAGCCCATCGCTGGCCCCGCAGAAGCCACTCAGAGCATCGGGATCTTACTGGACGAGCTGGTGTGAGCGCTGATGCTCTGCAGAGACATGGAGAAGACCTTTTGTTCTTTGGGGGCCTGGTCCCTCTCACAGCCACAGTGAACAGAAAGACTTGGGTGGTGACAGTCACATTCACCTGAAGGGGAGGGTGGCACAGGGCCTGTGTCCCAGACTGAGGATGAGACCAGTGCCCATCTTCCCACCTCCTGAAGCCGTTCCTGTCATTCAGTACCCCTGGCCTCACCCAGCCAGACTTCTGTGCCCTGGTATGGAACATCTTCCTGCCTTGTCCCTACTTGGGAAGGAGTTGAGCCTCCACCCTCAGTTTTCCCGCTAGCTAAAAGGATAACCCACAGGAGCTAGCAAGGAAAAGCTGGCTTTGCCCCACCTACAACCTCCACACCCCTCCATTCCTCCATAGGAAGGCTGGAGGGGAAAGAAGAAAAGAGCAGGAACCAGGCGCTGCCCCTGGGAGTGGAGAGCAGGGACCTCTGTGAGGAAACAGTCAATGTTTACATAGGACCTGGTGAAGCAGGCTGGCCAAAGGCTGGCTGCCTGCAGGGTCAGAGGGCTGCACCTGCCCCTGTGATCTGAGGTGCTATCTACCCTCCTTGCCTTCATGCTCAGTTCATCTAGGAGCTTCCTATTTCCCGTTGGGGCTGGAGAGCTCCTCCCAGGGAAGGCCTGTCACGCACTCAGTTGCTTCCCAGGGGCTTTTTCTAAAGGAGTAAGAGGGACCGAGGGACAGGGTTGTTGGAGCTCACAGTATAGACAGATACCTGCTTCCCCCATGTACATAGTATTTTATACTTCATCCTGACCATCTCGGGCTTTAGGCGTGGGATCCCCGGAATGGAGGGGGTTGAGTCTTCCCTTCCTCCCCACAGTGGGGGAGAGTGGGAGAAGGATATGTATTTAAAGAAAATTAAATTTAGTAACAATTTTGTCTAACCAACTTTGCCTGTGGCTATGGCTCTGCCTGTCAGCTTCTCTGATAGCAGAGGGCGTCAAGTTCTCTCACTGCCTCTTTCTGCCTTCCCCTACCCACACCACACACAGATAGAGTCTTGCTGCGTTGTCCAGGTCGGCCATCTTGCCTGAGCCTCCTCAGCAGCTGGGCTTATGGGTGTAGCTTCCACACGCAGATGTTCTTAGCCTTCACCTTGAGCCAGGCATGGTGGTGCACATCCATAATCCCGCACTAGGGAGGCTCAGGCAGGTGGTGCATTTGAGTTCAGAAGTTACACACCAGCCTGAGAACATAGCAAGAGATCCATCTCCAAATTTTATTTTTTTAATTGATGGCAATAGATTATTATCTGTACAACATAGTTCAAGACTAATACTAATGCACAGTAAAAGCTTAGCCAGCCTCATCAGCTTTTTAGACAACATTACAGTTAATGTTTTCTAGCACATCACTGCACTACAACTTGGAACTAATAAAATTCTACTTGTAATTGTCAGTGCCTTTGCAACTAACAGGGTCCTGGTTGCTGCCAGGAAAGCCTGATCTTTTACTTTTTTCTTAACTGAAAGCTGTCATTCACAGGCTGGCACGCCCTAGCCCATACCATACCTACCTAGAAGTGTTGTGTGCTGACGCTCCCCGGGCCTGTGTGTGCTCAGAAGATCTTGTACACGTCCTCTGCCCATGCATTCCTGCTGAGGAGGACCTGAGTCAATAGTGGATGTGTCATATGGGCTGAGAGTGTTAGGAATGCTTTTCTTAGCTATTATAAGCCGGAAGCAGGGGGACCCTGTATTCCACCTGCTTGGTGGTACTGGGCAATGCCAGTGGCCACCAGGAACAGGTCCTGGGTGCTGAGCGTAGGAGCGTTTGCTGAGTGAAGTACAGTGTGCTGTCGAGTGGCTGTGCAATAGGTATGCTCCCTAAAGGTGCCAAGGCCCCTCCCTTCCCTGCAGGTGTACCCTAGAAAATGCAGCCGGTTTGGTTTGCACACATACTGGGCAGCCCCTTAAGTCCTCAGTTCCGAGAACCTGTCTTCACCCACAGGTGCAGCTGTTCTTAATACCTTCCCTCTTCACACTCTAACCCTGCTGAAAACTTCCAGTCCTGTTGCTACTGCCAAGCTTTTGGGGCCTGATCTTTCTTCCTTGGGGCTGCCACTTCCTCCTGTAGCACTGCCAGATTGCTCTGCTGTGGGGGAAAAATTCTCTCCATTCCCTGCCCCTCTCCCTCCTGCTCTGGCCTCATGGATACAGGAAATCTGTAGGTAGGCTTCAAGTCTCCACCTCACTATCTCCCCTTTAAGGAATATACTTCAGTATTGAATTCATTGATGTTTGCATGAAAATACAAGCTAAAAATCAGCATTTCATCCAAGCATGGTGACATACCTGCGATCCCAGCACTCAGGAGGCTGAGGCAGCAGGATCGCTATGAGTTTGAGGCCAGCCTGAGCTGCCTAGTGCATTCAAGTCCAGTCTGAACTGCATAGCAAGACCTTGTCTCAAAAAAACCAAAATACGAATTTTAAAATTTTCCAATCGAGGTCAAACCGATAAGGAGAAATGCATTATTTGTAGTGCTTCCACTCAAGTCACGTAATACATATTCCAGGGTGCATAAAAGGGGAAAACGAGGTACTGCTCAGCTGATCAGCAATGAACTGAGAACAGATGTGTACAGGCTAAACAGCAATAAGCTCCAAAGTTAATCACCATTAGCATGATCTTGTTACTCAGCGCGGCATTTCGTACACTGATGGCAGACAGACACTGGAGGACAGAAAAGCCCCTGCCGTGTGGAAAAGGCATAAGCCCTGTGCTTGGGGGGAGCTGGCCTGAGTGGCTGAGAAAACAGAGTGCAAGCAACTGCAAATGAAGTGGAAAGGGGGAAAGACTGGGGTTGAGGTAAGGCCTGTGCACAGCCAGAAACAAGGGATTGGAGGCAGTAAGTATCCTAAAATGTATTTAGATCGGGCTTTAAAAAAAATCTAGGCACCATTTGGGTACCATTTTTTTTTTCCTTTGAGCATCCAGGCAACTGTAGGGTATTTAGTATTAATGAATTTGCACCCCAAATGCATCTCCAAGGACAAACCACTGAAGGAAAGTGGGTGATAGCATAGCTACATAACAGGATTCCAACTTTACTGATAACTGACAAGCCATTTGGTCAATCAAGATCATGAGTGTTTACCTAAAACCATTGCTTTCTTTTCTGGAGTTTGGATTATGGACAGAATGTTGAGAAAGGCAAGTAGTTCACACACAGCTATTACGTGTCAGGGCAGAAATGGCAAGCCAGACCGTGGGGATCTACGTTCAGTGCCAGCTTTGCTGCTCACAGGGCTATAGCAGCAGCTGGCTCTCCATGAAGCGACACAAGACAGTAGGTGGTGTTACCTCCCCGGCTTATGTGAACAGGGAAGACCACCTCCAGAGAAGCGGCAGGTGCTGGGTGTCCTTGCCACGGTATAGCACCCTGTATCAGCATTGGTTTTGATTGTTTGTTCTTTTTAATTTCACAGTGAATGACTTAAAGAAGTTGTATATGGATCTGCCACTGATGACATGGGCACCTGAAGTGAGGATAGAGATTCAGAGATCCTGTTGGACAACTTTTGAGAGCCAATGGCAGCCATAGATTGGAGCAATGTGTTCTTTAAAGAAACAGATTCCCCAGTTCTGGGGATGGAGCTCCACTGTAGAGTGCTTGCCTAGCTGAGGCCCTGGGTTCAACCCCCAGTACCCAAAAAGAACTGTTTCATCCCATTCTCTCCGCTCTCCATCAGTTCTTTTGCCACCCACTCTGGCTCCACCAGGGCTTTTCCCATTCTCCTGAGGGGCTTTTCTTTTTCTTTTTTCTTTCTTTCTTTCTTTTTGTAGTTAGGACAGGGTCTAAACGGTCTTACTGTGTAGATCAGATTCATAGTGATCCTCCTGTTTAGAGCCTCCCAAGTGCTGGGATTACAGACATGTGCCCCAGGGGCAGGGCTGGCACAGCAGGCCAGGGATTGAACTCTGGGCTCCCCCTGCATCTGCCTAAACAGGCACTTTACTCTGCTGAGCTATTTGGCTGGCTCTTATTTTATATGTATTTGGTATAGGATCTCACTACGCTGCTCAGACTCACAGTGATCCTCCTGTTTTCAGTCTCCCCAGTCTGCTGGGATTACAGACTTGTGTTACTACTCCTGAACTGATGATGGCCAGCTCAGCATGCCCAGGGGCAGGGCCAGTGCATCATGTGGTGCTGGGGATTGAACCCCAGTCCCTGCACTTAGACCTAAGCAGGTGCTTAGTCTGCTGAGCTATCCCTTCAGCCCTTGAGGGGCTTTTATGCTTCCCCAGTTCTGTCACTTTTTTCCACCTAAGATAAACCTGTGCTTTCTATTCCACCACGCTCTTCAGTGTCTCTGGCCATGTCATTCATGGGTCAGTCCTCTGTTAGAACCCTAAATATAGGTTCAGGGTCTGAAGTGATCAAACTGGAGACAGAACAAAATGGCCAAGCAGGCACACATGCACAAATTTATGGAAAATATGGGGACCCAACCCTCAGATTCCCTTGGATTCTATTAAAAAAAAAAATAGAAACTTTGCTCGTTCAATCTCTTTCTAATAAGTGAGTAGGCTAGGCAAAATGGGGATAGCACACTATGGTATGGCATCTGCTTCTTTTCCTAGGTCATAATCTCAACAAGAAACTGGGGTGTGAGTTTTGTAGAGGAAGAGCAACAAGGAGCACCACAGCATCCGGAGAAGAAGGTTTTGATGGCAGCATTCTCCTGGCTTCTGGTTTGGCACGGCACATTCTTCTTATCCATCTCTCCTCTTCCATTTCTTGTTTCTCCCTCTTTCTTTACCCTTTGCCCTCATCTCACTATATTCACTGGTATCACTGAGAACAACAAGAGGTCTCAGAACCTTCCTTAGGAGACACCAGTGTCATGAATGGGTCAAAAGATGCACAAGTGACTAAGCAAGCATGCCCACATGACAGTGTGAGCCCCTGCATGTGGCCAGCTCTGAGTTTCTAAATGTTTAAGCCATATGTCTATTCTATCTCAAAACAGTGCCTGGCATTCCCAAATATACAGTTAGAATTTGTGAGGACTTTGATATATTAAAGAAATCATGTGACATGGGGAAAGCTGACAAATCCAAAGCAAATGAAGGAAAAACTAAATTTGATTAGTAAATATCAGATTGGGTATTAATTTAAAAAATCTAAAATGCAATAGCACGATTATAATGTGTCAGGGTGCCACTTTCTCGACCACCTTCAATATTTGAATTTCTGTTGGGCTATTTGCTTCTACTGAAAAAAAAAAAAAAAAAAAAAAAAAAAACCAGGAGGTATAAAAATTCCCATGATAGGGCTGGGAATATGGCTCAGCAGGCATAAGAGCCTGCTTGCTTGGAAAGCACAAGGTCCTAAGTTCAATACCTGGTACCACAAAATTAAAAAGAAAAAAAATTCCATGATGGGCTGAAGGTCTAGAGTGCAGGGTTCTGGGTTCCAGAAAAAAGTTTCATGAGGAAGAAACCAGAATGTCTTAAAGGTAGAGTTATAAAGGCCAAAGGACAAGCAACTCATTGTTGGCTCTTAGAACTATGTTGTAGCATAAATCTCTACCACAAATTCAAGCCTTCTAAAAATTACTGTTTTCTTTCCTTGAAATTGCTTTTGGCTCTGAGCCATCAACCCTCTTCAATAACGGGAAATCCATTCCTTGTCTGCATTGCTATCTCTCCTTCCAAAAATGCTCGTGTGTTTTAGTGTTACACAGATAGGCACTGTGATTCCATCCTTGGATGTACGCTGTTTAACCACTGCGCTGACTGTATTCAGGCCCCAAAGACATAGGCTTCCCCATCTCTCATCTTTGGTGCCAGATTTGGAGGATGGCAGGCTGCCGGAGGCGACCGAGGCCCAGCTCCTCCAGGCCCCACGGCTGTCTGCGCTGGTGCCGCCTGTGCAGCCCTGCCTGAGAGTCGAGATGCTGGTCTCCACTAACAGTGGACCTTGCCACTTCCATCCTTTTCAAGTGGAAAAGATATGAAATGAACCACATAATTCTACCATGGACATTTTGCTGTATTTACCTTACCATATATCTACCCGTAATCAATATGGTTCTTTTTAACAGCATATTTCAAAGTAAGATTCAGATACCAGTGCTCTTCTTAATACTAAAATTTTTACCAGGAGCTTCTCTTTTTTTCTGTGCCAGTGATCGAACTCAGAACCTTGTGCTTGCCAAGCAGACCCTTACGCTGCTCAGCTATCTCCCCAGCCCAAGCTTCTCTTTTTATAAGTAAACTGAGGATGACCAGAAATCTGCCTTGATTATGAAGATAAACATAACTTTCTGATTAGTTTTGAGGAGTAGTTCTGACTTCTGTATGGCTTTAGGTCTAACTCAGGTATGAAATATGTATTTATTGATTTGTTTTTATTTTGTATATGGTGATGCTAGGGACTGAACCAGGGTCCTGCATGTGTGAAGCTATACCAATAAGCCATACTCTCAGTCTTGCAT